TAGACATACTATTGTAAAAGATATTTTATTTTATAATTTCGAATAACAATTCAACTAATATGGAATAAAAATCTTCTTTTAACATTGTGCTATAGCTATTCTTTTTTAATGAAAAAGTAAAGTTGATGGAACTTATGAGTACTTTTTTTAAAGATGAGTGTTTTTGGTATTAACAGAAATAATTTTATCTGTTGTATATGTAAAAGAATGTGATATTTATATTTTTCTTTTCTCTTTTTCTTTTATACAACCCGGCCCTACATTTTTTATATACGTGTAATAAATGATACCACATGAGAAATAATTTTTTTTAATGGTTGTTTATAGTAGAATGGAAAAGATAATAACTCTGTCTGACCCTCCCTAACGGTGGCAAAACATGATTTAATTGTTAAAATATGACGGATTGAGTTGAGATTTTCTACCCATTACCTGTTTTAACCTGCCTTGCATAAGGTCGGGTCATTTTTTTTTAATTGGCATATAATATTTTATTTGTCAATAAACTTTTGTAATATCCAAATTTTTTTTATTTTAATACTTTCAAAAAAAAATATTGAAGAAGCAAAATTTTATTTATAACAAATATTATACATATATAGAAGCAAAAATTAATTCCTAAAAAATGTCTAACTGAATATTAATATACATTTAAGCTTGAAATTGGAAAAAAATAAAGAAAGAGTGAAATTAAATTAAATAGTATTATAAAATATATAAAATATAATTTTTTTATTTTAATTGTTTTTTAAACAAATTTTATCGCCAACCTACCATAAAATAAGATAAATTAATATCTTTAACTCACATTAAATAAGCGGGCCGACGCACTTTGTCAGATATTATATTGTATTGATTTGTACTTACTTTATTTAAAGGGAACACAATTTTTTTTTAGTAAGCAAGCGAACACAATTTATTTGGTTACGCAAGCAGACAAACTTTCTTATTCAATAACCAGTGGTTTGCATGACATTTTTTTTCCCCTCCGTAAATATTAGAAAAACATCTGTTAATAGAATTATCTACTTGATTTAAAACTAAAAATTGTTTGAAATTTGCCTATTGATTAAAAGATTAAAGAATCAATATTTCTAAGAAAATTGATTATAAGATTCCATTTTTCTCATATTATTGAAAAAAATTATCTATGCAAAAAAAAATAACTATATACTACGAATAGTATATAGTTATAATAGTAATTTTCTCTGCCACATCAGTCTGCAATATCTGAGCAGAAAGAAAAGCAAAACAGCTTTAATATAATAACTATATATTATTTGAAGTATCTAATTATTTTTTTTATATGAGATAATTTTTATCCAGCAATATAAGAAAATTATTTCTGTTGATTGTATAATAAAAGCTTAAAAACTGATTCATGGGAATAACTTTTTTTTTTTTTTTAATTGTGTTTAATTCTCACCAAAACAAAGTTGGATTTTAACTCCAATGAAAGTTAGGTGCAGTTGATGTGCGTCCCACCTCCCAAGGGGAAAAGGAGTTAGTAAGGTGGGAGGTCAACAAATTCAAAAAAAACTTATTAACAAGTGGGACTTTTTGTGGATTTAGAAAATCTTTGTCTGATCTTTTTCCCAAGTGTGACAATGACATTCTTAATTTGGGGCCATGGCTACCTACGGGCACTTAGAGCACTTCGATTTGTTTACTGATTATTGAGTATATTTATTAATGAGCACATACTTAGCAAGTGAGCAAAACTTTTAACTATTTTATATCCCCATGGCTCTGACACACTAGTACTTGAATTTCCCCCACTATAGTAGAATTTTTTTATATTAAGAATGGGTGTACAGCTGCTACAGCAGAGTGCACAACCAAGCATTCGACTTACAGTTTTTGTATTTATTATGCCAAGGTAAAAATACAGAATAAGGAGAAAAATCTTGATTCTATCTCCAATTTTAGGGTCTATTTGGATGATTTTTTTCTTCTTCTACCAAAAAAAAACACTTCGTAAAAATAATTTATTTAAATATCCGTTTTTTTAAAAAATAAAAGTCATAAAACAAAATTAAAAATCTATTTTTTTTTTTTGTAAGCTACAAATTTTAGCATCTAAAAGAAATAGAAGTCAAAAGTTAAATATTTTTTTCAAAAACAAAATATTTTTTCAAAAATCTAAATAGCTGTAATTTTAATAAAAACACTTCTAAAATAAGCAAGGCAAAAAAAAAAAACTTTTTTTTGGAAGCTATATTTTGTTTGTTATAAAGAACCTTGGGATACACAACCCAAAATAGCTCAAAGGGTGAGAGTGTCTAAGGCCTTATAAACTCCACACATTAGTTGCACATACAACCAATGTGAGACTATATATCTCAACACGCCCCCTCTTTCTCTTGTGGAATTTCTTAGCACAGGTAGGTGGGTCTGTGCATTATCCACCCTTCAAGCCAATGGACTCTCATGTGAGGGGACGTGTGGAGATATATAGTCCCACATTGGTTGTATGTGCAACTAATGTAGAGTTTATAAGGCATTGGACACTCCCACCTTTGAGCTAGCTTTTGGGTGGTGTATCCTAAATTTCTTTACATTTGTTTCGTTGTTTCGTTTTTCCTTCCCCCTTAGAATTATCCATTAAATCAAAATAGTTTCAATGAAACTAACGGAAGGTTACAGGTAATGGGGTATTTTCAGTTGATGGTTAGATATAGCTATTGATTCTCAATTGTATATTGAATCTCTTGGAAAGTAAAGAAGGAATACGACTTGTTACAATATTTTGATTATTTTGCTTTCGACATTCTAAGGTGCTTTTCTAAAAGTTTGCCTCTTACATATTTTTTATTCTGAATCACTAGTTCTTTCTGAACTTCCATACCAAATTACGTTCCAAGCAAGCAACGAGTCTCATCCAAAGAGTATGAAAAACTTTTGTTAGATTAAAAAAAATGCAACATAAGATCATTTGAAAAAAAAAAATTTATAATGATCAATTGCAACCCCATCCATACTAGCTACGGTTACATGACCAATTCAGAAGTAGCCATGAAATTGTTGGGAATGAAACGAGGGAGCCCAAAACCCTTTGCAAAGGGTACATCCACCAATGGGCCAAATGACAAACCATAATAAGTGGGCCGACACCACATCTTAACCCAAAACCTTAAGGCTGCAGGTTTATGGGTCTTTCACACTTATATGGTCATCACTTGGTCTATGTCTAGTCTATGTGGTACTTCTTTACAACTCATACTTGATTATTTTCAACATCCTCCCTCAAGTGTGAGACCCAATATCATTCTTACTCTAAGGTCAACTTCTGCGGAAGTCTTTTTTTTCTCTTCAAATATTAGGGTCACACTAGCCTTCTGCAGAGGCCTTCCAAACACACTTGGCCCAGCCCAGATCATTGGCTCTGATACCACTGTTGGGAATGAAACGAGGGAGCCCAAAACCCTTTGCAAAGGGTACATCCACCAATGGGCCAAATGACAAACCATAATAAGTGGGCCGACACCACATCTTAACCCAAAACCTTAAGGCTGCAGGTTTATGGGTCTTTCACACTTATATGGTCATCACTTGGTAGTCTATGTGGTACTTCTTTACAACTCATACTTGATTATTTTCAACATCCTCCCTCAAGTGTGAGACCCAATATCATTCTTACTCTAAGGTCAACTTCTGCGGAAGTCTTTTTTTTCTCTTCAAATATTAGGGTCACACTAGCCTTCTGCAGAGGCCTTCCAAACACACTTGGCCCAGCCCAGATCATTGGCTCTGATACCACTGTTGGGAATGAAACGAGGGAGCCCAAAACCCTTTGCAAAGGGTACATCCACCAATGGGCCAAATGACAAACCATAATAAGTGGGCCGACACCACATCTTAACCCAAAACCTTAAGGCTGCAGGTTTATGGGTCTTTCACACTTATATGGTCATCACTTGGTCTATGTCTAGTCTATGTGGTACTTCTTTACAACTCATACTTGATTATTTTCAACAGAAATATATGTAAACAGTGACATTATTTATTAAATGCTGAAGAGAAACAACCAAATAGCAGTTAGCAGTAGGCAAGGTTAACTAAATTATATAATTCTACAAACTAACATAAACAAAGCCATAAATCAAAGCACAACCCATCTTAACTCTAAGGCCTTGTATTACCTGAACTATATCATATGAACTACATCTGTTGCGTCACTGCCTTAACATGACACATAGATTAATATTAATTTCTTCCCATTCAACCATCCAATCCTTCTTTTCTTTCCTACCGAAAGCCAAAAGGAAGATGGGGTTCCGTTGTTGCATCCCCTTGTTGTGTTATGGATCATTTTGTCTCTATATATCAGTATCAAACAATTAGAGCCGCAGGGCAAGTAAATGGGAATTCGGCCATTGTTTTTACCTATCTTTGACGTCACAAAAACCATGAGCTGATGCAATCTGAAAAGAATAAACAAACATGATCAAACATATATGGTTTAAAAGTAAGATATCTCATTCATGAACAAAAGCAACAAAAATATCCCTCTCCATTCTCTCAGTTTCAAGCTGATTTTTTCCCCCACCATAATTGGGACATGGTAGTTTATACCAAAAGCAATGCCTAGCTGCATGCCCACCCTATCAAACCAGGCCACATGTACCATTTTTGCAGTGCATAGATGACATAAGACTATAGTTTATGGCACAACCATAAGCATAGGACTATAGTTTCATCATTTGGTCTAGAGAGGCTTAAAAAATAGTAAAAATGAGCAATGCAATTGCGCCACTTTCCACTAACCGACTTATGCTGCATGCGTGTTGACAAATCTTTCATTTTCCCCAATTACATACTCATTCTTTCTTTCCCTAATCCAAAAGTTTTCTACTCTCATCGGAAAGATAGCTTTCTACTCCACTCCACACGAAATAAACCCCTCTATTTTTTAAAAACCCACCTCATTATATATGACGCTTTTGCTTCAAACCCGCAAAACTCACTAGTCACATTTTCCTCTCAAATTCCCTCTTCCTTCCCCTGCTTTCTTTCTCTCTTTCTCTCCCACTCAAGGCTCACATTTTTTAAGCCTGCCCATTTTACTCTATACAGTTATCTCTATAGCTATGTAACAACTTGGTTTTCACCATATGCTTCAAGCGTTTATATACTCATTCATCACCTTTTTAGAGTAAAAATGGGAAATTCTCTTACTTTTTGTAAACCCAGTTCAGGATCTTGCTTTCCAGGTGCTATGGCAAAGAAGGGTAAATTTGTGAGGGTAGCCAAACCAGATGGTAAGATACTGGAGTTTAGTTCCCCAATCCATGTGAAGGACATCTTGACAAATTTTCCTGTTTATGGTATTGGTGTTTCAAAGAAAGCCTCAGAGTCTCTCTCCCCAGATCATGAATTAAAAGCAGGAAGATTGTACTATTTGCTTCCCTCTTTGCATTCCCCTCCAAGTCTTACATCAATAGGGAACAAAGAGCCAGATAGTGGGATAAAGAGGATCAAAGTTATAATAACAAAGCAGCAGCTTCAGCAATTAGTGACCAAACAGATCTCTTTGGAGGATATACTATCACAGGTTCAAACAGTTGATGTTAATTCACCAAGCAATCGGAAGCCAAAATTGGACTCTATACCCGAAGAAAATGAGTAACATACTACAAAATATATAAAATACTTGTCTCGTTTTTATTTTTGATTATCTGGCTGTTTAAGCTTTCCTTTGCTTTAGTTCTTTCTGTTGTAGTCATGGCCATTGTTGTAATGCTTTGGTTTTTTTTTAAGGAAGTTCGGTTGTAAGGACAGAAAGAAATGAAGAATGTAAAAGCAGACATAGAACCTAGTATAAATATAAATAAGTAGTTGAGGACAGTTTCCAAATTTTGCATTGGCAGGTTTTTAATTAGCATATTCTCACGGATTAGTTATGTGGTTATATGTTTGTTTTTAACATGCAATAGAGGTTAGGTAATTGTGCTCCCAATAAAGAAATACGCATATTTGAGGATTAGTACCTTAATGTTCCAAAGACAAAGTTGAACCAAGAGAAAACTATTTTCATCTATTGCAATAAAAGGGTGCAGAAACTGACATTTCGAGACAATTATACTGCTGCAAATTATTTTATTTTTTCAACATTTAATACATCTTTAACCTTATAATGGGTACATGTTATAGAAGTAAAAACAAGGAAAAATGCATAGTTCCAAAAGGACACTGTACAAAGCATGGGTATCACTGAATTTCCACATCAATAACCTTGCGTTCAACTTTGGTCTTAGGAATGGTGATGTAAAGCACACCATTCTTCAACTCTGCCATAACCTTGTCCTTCTGGCAGTTATCCGGAAGCTTGAGACGGGTATCATAGGAACTATAGCTCTTGCTTGACCAAGAATCTTCTCCACCTTGTTCCTTATGTCCACCTTTGATAACAAGCACATCGTCCTCCACTGATACCTTAACATCTTCCTTGGAAAGACCGGGCATGTCAAACCTCATTTTGATTTCATTCTCTTCATCTTTGATGTCCCAAGGGGTACGGATCTCCCCTCCTCCCAGGTTTCTTCCGGGGAGTGCCATGCTATCTTCGAAAATTCGATCCATTGTGTTCAGTATCTGGCGCATGCTCCTCATTGGTGACCATGGATCCAAAAGACCTGCAATAGGCCACACCATAAGTCAGTATACTTGTTTAACAGAGGACTCCAATTGAATGTTAAAAGCAAATCCAGGTAAAACGTAGCTAGCATTACTATTGACTTTTAGTTATTCAGTGGAAGGTATTGTGATGAATCACTTGAATTCTAAACAAGAAACACGTTTTTTGCTATTGAGTTTGCTTAGTTTTGGGTACCTAAATTCACTCTGGCTATGCTTTTCATGGTTCTGGCTTGAGTTTGGTTATGAAGTTTTCTCACTAGTCATTTTAATTTAGTTTCAGAAGAAAATCCTCAACAGAATCAATCCAAAAAGATTGTACCAATATCATAAGCCAAGTTTAATGTCCAATATTTATCATTCCGAACTTGGTTGCAAAGCGATCCTTTTATTTCACTAAAGCAAGATGGTTGAAATTAACAAGGAAAAAAAAAAAAAAACAGATAGAAAATGGAACATACTTCTAGTGACAATGGTGGAACGGATGACAATAGCAACCACTACAACATTTTTGAAGCATCACTGATGACAGAAATCCCAACCAGGGCAGAAACTATTTAAATACGTGCATATTAACAATTTTGCAATAATAGTATGTTAAAGGGGTATATTCTAATGATTACGAATCATATACTCCCAACTTGAAATTTTCATTTTAATTTCCAAATTAAAAGAATCAGACAAGGCTAATAAAAGAAGATGCACTGATCAATGTTAATGAAGAGGAAAAGGAAATTTCAGATACTATATTTGTGTGGATTGCTTACAAAAGAATGGAAGACTTACCAAATGGTGACATGTCCATGGCAACTCTGCGAGGCTTTCTCTCCACTGCGGTTCCTTGTTCTCCCTTGTTAACATGCACTTCAACAGAATTGTCTTTGTTATCACCATTAGCTTGAGCTCTCACCGTTTCTAATCTTGGCAATTGTCTCCTTGATGGAAAGGAGACCAAGCAGGGTGCAATAGCATTGTGTGGTTTAGCAGAGGACCCTCCTTTTTGGTACAGCAGAGGTGAAGTAGTTGATAAGGACAGTGCTTGAGCCATAATGATATGAACAAAAAAAGAAAGTTGTTTTGAGCAACAAGAAGAATAGAAAGAGTCAAATTCAAGTGTCTATGAGGGGTGAGAAGGGAGAATTATGAATATATAGCCAGTGGATGTGAAAGTTGGAGAAGGGTCTTGAGAGTTTGAGAGGAAGTATGAAAGTTCTGGACCCAACAGTTGTTTTTGTCTCACTCTGGTAGTTTCCTGAATGGTCTTCAAAAGTGATTTCACATCAATGAGTTCATGTAGCTATAGCTTGGGCTTTTTAAATCTCGTGTAATTTTAAATCAACCCTGTTTGTTCGATTCTTGATTTCATTATCCATTTCCTTGGGCTTTTTTGAGATTCTATCCTTTTCTTTCTCTTCTACTCATCGAACAATTCCCGGCTTAAAAGACATGATAAATGAAGTATGGAATCTAATTTTCAACCAAAAATAAAAGGAACAGGATATTGTTACTATCAAATAATGTTATTATTAATGTTACTATTATATCTTAACTGTTGATTTTCGTCAATCAATGGTTATTATTTTCACAAATCAAATTCATTAATTAATTATTAGTTCGTAATAAGTGATAACGATTGACTGACGGAAATCAACGGTTAAGATAGGATAGTAACATCAGTAGTAACATTATTTGATAGTAACAATATCCTATCCCAAATTAGGAAAAGAAGCTCCTAACCTTGGCAATTGTTCGATGAGTAGAGAAGGTTGGTACAACTTATAAGATCACAAAATGTGTCTATCAGAAAGTTGTGTACATATTATTTATTTATTTTTTAAAAAGTGTTTTAATATAAAATAATAATTAAATTATAAAGGAGACAACATAAAAAAAAAGCATAGATCACTAATAACTACGGCATGCAACAATGAACTAATCAGAGTGTGAAGGTATCGATATATTTCTCTATTGGTGAAGTATGTTGATCTGACTGAGACAAAAGAAACATTGGCATAGATCAAAGTTCTGTAGAGTCACTGTATTAGCCTTAGGCTTAGTGTGAAAGGGAAAGGTATAAGGGGGCTACGGTTATGGCTTGAGGAGAGATTTCAACAAACAAACAGCAATAGGAAGCAAATGGAGAAGAAAGGGAAATGAGAGAATGAAGGTCCCTTTATATTGGGGGTTGGAGATTTCCTCCAAGTGTGCAAATTGTGATATCATAATCGTTTCCAACCCTGTGGGCCCCACTAGGTGTGAGGATGCATAACCCACGTGTGAAAGGTCGTGCGTGCGTGGAAAATGTGACGGGATGCGTGTACAAGGGAGTCATGTGATCCACGTGCTGAGAACGAGAAACATGAGAAAACACATGTACAAGGAAATCATATGCTCCACGTACTGAGCAGTGATGGCTTTGTCAGGCAACCGTATGGCCTGGCTATGCGAAGCCATCCGGCTGGCTCAGAACAAATAATAAATACATAGGTTAGAACTAATAAATGATTTTGTTTAACAATATATTTTTTTTCTAACATCAACATTAATAACACCTTTATTTCAAACTAGTTGGGGTTTTTTCCTAGTTTACTATGGGAAAAAAATCGTTACATAACATTAGAATCCCTCAGGGTTGATCCGTCGGGGCTTTAACACTTCAACACATTATTCTTGCCAATGCTGACTTTTTGAATAACTTCCCAACATTAGAAGGTACGAGAAGTGGTTACTAGTTTAGAGATTAGATATGATATGCAGTTTGAAGTTTGATATGTAGGTGCATTTAAGTGCGTATACTGCTTGTAGTTAGAAGTGTCCCTATAGCTGATTGTCATGAATACTTCTTGTTTTGTTGCCTTTGGAATTCTATGGTTTGCGTTTACATAAAAAGAACAGAATGGTATTGTATACCAGAGTATAGAAGTTTATTATATAGTGATGCTGCAACGGCTAGTTAGAAACAATAATCTAATTACAAGGAATAGCAATTCAAGTCAACTCCAGTTTTTCAACACACCAATCTGTTCAAATGCATTGATAGACTTGCGAGTAATATGAGAGCATCTTTTCTTCCGGCTGGTGGGCTTCAGATTTCTCAATTTCATTTTTTAGTGGGACATTTAGATATTTCTCAAATTCAAATGGCTGATCTGATGAAATATTCATTCAAACAAGCAATGAAAATTCCTGCATGCAGCGAAGTGTTAACATTTTGATATTCATTTGAATTATAATGAGAAATATAATATAAAAAATGACATTCACCTAATCACTTAAGTTTGAATGAGAATGAGAATTTTATATAAACGCTGCAAACAGGTCTAGCCACTACTTGGTTGTGGTTGATATTACATATCGTTGCGTTGAAAGTACAAGCCATCTTATTCTAATATTGCCATATTATATAATTTGTGTAGCTCCTAAGAAATCATAGTATTAAAAGCCATGCTAACATCTCCAATTTCTCCTTTGTGGTTAATAATGTTGTGGTGACGGTTGGTATCCCCCACCTCCATTAGGAACGGTTCCATAACTGACCGGAAATGGATCACCATTTCCTTGGAAAAGTTTTCGCCCTGCACCGTATAAAAAGTGATATACATAAAGTAATGAAACAAGAAGAAAAAAAAGGATAAATGCGTATGGTTGGATGTGGTTCAGTATATGATATATTCTCACTAATATAAAATTAAGAGCAACATACCGAGTTTAATATCAGGTTGGGCAGCACTACCCAGCTTAGAGGACATGAGTAATAAAAGTGTTGCTAAAAAAGTAGCAAATGACATGAATTTGGAGGCACTGAAGAGGGCCATTTCTAACAAAAGCTATGTATCTAATTGCAAGTTTGAGGATGGGAAATACATCTTGAAGAGTTGGTATTTATATATAGATGTTAAGATCATGGAAATATTTTAGAAGCGTGATCTTCCCGTCGCTGACCAATTCTTGCCGACACCATATAGACTAACGTGATGCATGTGCAGACTAATTCTTCCTCACATAGCTTGTTGTCTTATTTGATGCATGGCAGCCTCCATAATAAAAAGTATTGGGTGGTTTGGCACATTGAATGAAAAGTTCTCGATAAATCAAGTGCTCAATTAATTCAACCGCGTGAAAAAGAAATTTTGAGCAAATAATTAATAATAAAGACAGGGCAGTAATCAGCAACGGAATGTGAGGTACAAAGACGAAATTTAGTGTGAACTTTACGGTCAAAGCAAGTAACATAGATAGCTAGTGTTGAGATCAATTGGTTTTCAAATTCTTATTGTGTTTGTGTTGATAAAAATTAACACAAAAAATCTGTATTGTGTCACGTGTCAATTCATAAATTCAAAATTAACTCACTTTAATCTTCTTTCAAATTATTTGTGTCATATCGTGTCGTGTCAATCTATATAATAAATAATATACTTTGAGGTTACGGGTTATTTATGTCATGTCTTATTATGTCAAGTCGTACAATAAGTGAATTATATTTGTGGTGAAAAGTTTCAACCCAATTTTAAATTTGTGTGTGTTCATGTTAAGTGTATTCGTGTTCATATCATGTCAATCCAAATTGTCAACCTTAATATTAGACTAAAGAAGTGGGTACAAGTAAATTAATTCTATTTTTTTATGAATTTAGTGTGTATCATTCAAAAGGACGATTCTTTTAGGCAAATATAATGTATTTTTTTAAATTTTAAATTTTAAATTAAAAACTTTTCTCGTTACTCTCACTCTTTCATAATTTATTTTTTTATCTCTCTTAAAAAAATATAAATGTATGACTTTTAATAGCACACATACTTTTTCCTTTTTTTTAATTAGCTTCGAAGTTGAAAAGGTCAACTGAACAAATTAACGACTACTAATGAGTTATGACTTATGACGTTGAAGGGGTGAGTTATTTTGCCCCTTGACTTGGGGAAAGACTTTCGGGCTTTCGGCAACAGGCATGTATGGTGTGTGACTTTCGTATTAAAGGTAAGTTAGAAAGTTGGTAACGGGTAAAAGAAGGCAAAAAAATTATCAATTTAATCTAGTGTTAATCATTAAATTAGTTATTTATTTAATTTAAAACAAAAAATTTATTATTTATTTTTAATATCCCATCAGTGGTGGACCCAGAACTTTCTATAGCGAGGGATGAATTTTTTTTTTTATATTATTAAAAAAATACATATAATCATATATGAATTTAATATAAAAAGTTTGAAAGAGTTTTATTATAAAATTCAAGGTCAATTCATTTAACTTTTACTCTACCTTTTTTTCATATTAGTAAACTCTTTTATAATTGAATTTGTGCTAAAGTTCAAAATAATTTCTTTTTCAATATATATAATCAAAGAATCATAAAAAATTGGTCTTCTATTCAATTTCGAAGTCTGATATTGATTATCTTTCATTTGACAATGGATGCTGACTCTTTTTCTTTCCTAATATTTAGCTCAATTGGAACTCCTGTTTGTGTATTGTTGTTGTCTTCTTTAACAATAATTTTCGCCACCATCTTGATAATCAAGTATGCCTGATTTTGAAATTTTTTCTTGAACCCTAAAACTTGCTACTTCCTTTATAAAAAACTACAATTTCAATATCTAAAGTTGTGTTTGTTTAAGATTTTTTGGAATTTTCAGTCCAATTATTTAATTTTTTAGTCCAAAATTAATTTTTTTTTTCAGTCCAAAATTACATATATATAGTAAAAAAAAAAATCTAAAATTTAGGGAGGGGCGGTGGCCAACCCTAACCCCTCCCCTGGGTCCGTCTATGTATCCCATGTTAGCATTTTATCAAAGTACACAAACAACATGAGATAGAATGGTAGTTAAATACCCATTATTTTATGAATAAAATATAAGCCTTCAACATTTTATGCATGAAAACTGGAGAATAGAAAAAAAAAAAATTTAATTATTTTTTTTTACAACATGAACATTTTTTAAAAGACAAGAGAATGAAAAAAAAAATTATACAAAAAAAAAAGAGAATGAAAAAATAAATTATTTGCGAAAATAGATACATTTATAAAATGAGTTTCACAAATAAGAATATATTTTCAAAAAATGAGGGAGCAAAGAAAATTTTAAATTTATCATTATTATATCTACCAAATTTTTTTTATCATTATTACA